GAAACACCCATACTATTGAGACGTGATTCTCTCATCTATTTCACACCAAATAAGTTTACGTTAAATGAGGTATTGCAAATGTGTAACTTAGAAATCGATCCCCAATCTTAGTAATGTCTGGTGAGTAGAGTTTTTCGAATCCTACAGAAATTACATTCTCATATTTAGGAATCTGTAGTCATCAAATATAAGCTGAACATGCCTGAACTCTAAGCAACCATGCACATTGCTAATAACATGGAGAAACGCTTAGAATATTGTAAGATACGCAAACCTGTTCTGTTGATGAGGATAACAATGACATGTAATGCAGCCCAGACATTCAATCGTGACACTGCATCAGTATCACTTCAGGCAAATGGAAATTTCAGAGGGAATTCATCTCCACTATTGGTGATCAAAAACATTGCAGTGTTAAGTTTAGTGTCAAACGGTGGATTAATGATATAAGAGCTAACTAGATTCAATTCTCGTAATCAACACAAACCATGTGTATATAATAATAATAATGTATTTCATACAAATTTGCAAATTTACGTGAAAATGCATGCCCTTTTTTACAGGCACGATCAAGTAAGATATAGTCTCAAATCTCAGATTGTCTACAAGTTAATCATATTTCAACTGTTAAATATTGGATACATATAATACACTCATTGTCTGAACTAGGCTGTATAGTTATTGAATTGTACAATTGTCCTCCAGGTTGAGCGGGAAAATCGACTTCGTTTCGTTTTCATCCCGTGGTTGTCGGGATTCGATAACCAACCAATATGGAGGTAAGTACAACGTTTACAACGGATTGAAAGCTGTTTTTAGAAAAGTAAAAGTGCTAAGGTGAATCAATAAAGTGTAATGAAATGGGTAAGTGCAAGTATCACTAATAAATGCATTAATATAGAAAACTCCCTAGGCTGACAACGTTCATTTGCAATGTATAATGCTACACGTATATCTCGTAATATCATGATGTCCACTTTTGGTTTTAATACATTTATCCTCAGTTGTGCCAGTTGTTTTTGTTTTATACCTTTTTGTGCATTTGGTGCACAACCGTACCCTTCAGAGAGTAGGAATATAATAAGTCATAAAGAGCTGTACAATGTTAGTTTTAATGGAGTAAAATGAGGATCAAGTAAAGACGTTATTGGAAAATGAATGAGATAAGACATTGTGAAGTGGTATTTAAAGATCCGACAATGGACAGCATGTTAGTTTATAAGATGCCCCATAAATCTGTGCAGATCCCACATGGTCGCATCTCAACAATAGGCTGAGTGGATTGTATATATTTAAAGGTAGAAGCATGATCTGTCAAGGCGTTCATTATTATCTTTTTCAAGATAAAGATCTAAGCCCTCATAAAAATCAGAAATATCTCGAGCCTTTAATTTGTATATTGCTGTTCCTGCAGAATGAAGCGATTCACCTTAGTGACCCCCACCATATCTACCGATCAGCTAACGCCACCCTCCCTCCTTTTTTGATGTTAAGCTCTGAGAATATGATTATTATGGCTACCGCAAATATACTGCTTGGTACCAGACATGTTCGTACCTCATATTCTATCTTCCTAGCTTTCTAAATGAGTGCTTCCAATAGGTCTCCACATACATCTTTATGAACATATTACATATGTACGCATGCGTCCTAATGAACAGATTACTTTATAAGAAGTCAAAACCTTAAAGAGTAAAAGGAATAGGTTTCGTGAATAGTGGAGCAAGATTCAGCAGAACACTATAGTTAGGATTCAATGTAGGTAGTAAGAACTGAAGGTAAGGTCGGTTGGCGGGACTTAGTGTACTAAATTATCATGACAGTCTTGTATATGGTAGACATCTGACATTGAAAAGTAACGTGTCTAAACATATTATAAAAGATATTAACAGAAATACTACATAGCTTTAACATTAGGAATTTTAGAAAATTATATGAGAATGGGTAATTGTTGACTGAAGATAATCAATTCAACTCAAAAATAGTGCAGTGCATTATGCTAATAATATAAGTATATTCGTAAAATATTAAAAGATATGGCTGCTAATGTAATGGTTTTCGGAAATAATTATACTGACGAACTTATTGAAGATTACAGTGAAGAGGAAACCAGTGAGTTAGTTAAACGGCTACTGTGCAGTTAGTATTTAAAACGTCTTTTTTTAAAAGTAAAGGGTAGAAGAGTTTTGAGTACCGGAGCAAATTAAGTCATATTCTACTGAGTAGAGTGTAGTGAATAGTGGTAAGATTAGGGATAATGGTAGGTTGAATGAACTCGGGGAAAATGGTTGGTTGGTTGAGTTTGTTATTGCTAGGTATTCCTGGCCACTTTTCATACGGCATGCTTTAGACATTACAAAGTACCAGTTTGCTTATATTATGGGAGAACTATCACAACTAATTTGGGATTATACATCCAGGAAAATTATAGAGAGTCTTATGAGTTTATAAACCCGATTGAAGAAATATTGATAGGATCTCTAGTAAGCTGATATATTATAAGTATACACCTACATTTGTTAGCCTAGCAGTCAGCTAAGCACACAATGGCACAATAATAATAGGGGTATCTTTTATACATTGAATTACCACAACCCATATTGCACTGCGCCAATCATTGTAAATATATATTGAATCCACTTAGAGATAACCTTTCAACTTACCATAATTCTTGTCCAAACACACATACAGTGAAATACATATCTACACGATAACTCCTGTTCCCACAGAAGGTACTGTTAGCATTTAGAGATGATTCTCATGTACTGATAGCATTCTTTTGTCAAAAGGTACTGTTCTTCACACGAAAATAGTCACAATTTGATGTGGTCTTGATTGTATGACAGAATGTCGAAAGCTGCAGCTTTTACAAGAAGTAGACTACTTGTGTAGATGACATTACCCCATCTTCCTCATTATAGCTATGTTTTGACTCAATACGCATGAAACACTAATCATTACAACCAGTATGCTTAGAGTGTGTCACAGTCAGATTACATGACGCGGACACCAGCATAACTAGCCAGGAAGTAAGAATTCCTATCAATCGGGAAACATATAACACAATTTTATTGAAAATTATCGACAAAAAAATTTAACGAGCTAAATTTCAACCAACATGCCGGATAAGTCCAGCCCTCCGGTACCGTCATCAAAAGAAAAGAGATAATATTAATAATAGATATAATTACTGAAGTTATTCAGACTAAAAGACAGAAAATAAATAAAGAAAACATAAAAACAGACAGCTGATTAAATTTGAAGTTGAAATATATATATATCGGTAATAATAATGTGTAGTTAGAGTTGTCAGGAGAGTAGGACTGGAGAGAATGTAAAGAAGTAAAACGACAAACTTAGTTGTCTACCCCCGAATAGTGTTCGGGACTTAAGGGGATAGTCCATTTGAAAGCAGTCCTTGTGTTTCTGCATGATTGTCCAGCCTTCGCCTAAAGACGTCCACAGGTGGTGCCATAGGTACATCTGGGGGTAAGAAATACCAGGGACGGTAAACCCGTAGTCAAAATAAGTGGAAGCGCACCTAGGTACTTGCCGTCTATTGAGCTATCCTTCCGGGATTTGTACGAGGAAGCCTACACCTACTCAGTGGCAGAACGCCTTTGTTTGGGTGATTCTGATCATTTGTTATCTTGTACACAGTAATCAAATCCCTCCATGCGGACGGCAGCTAAGCATGAAAAGGCCTAATTTCTTTAGCCTTTCATCATGTGGTTTGTTTTGGAGACTAACCACCCCTTTTGTTGCCCGTCGTTGGACTCTTTCCAAGAGGTCGAAGTCTCTTCTAAGCAGGAAAGGTGCAATAATATTGTGCACCCCAAGGTGTGGTCTGACGTATGCTTCGTACAACCTTGGAAAGAGCTCAGGAGTGAGTGCACCTAACTGTATATGTGAGAAGTGAAGGGCTGCGCATACCTCCGCTTCGTCCCCGTACAATTTACGTTTGTGTTCATCTTTTCCCTTAGAACTAGACCTAAGTGGCGCTGTGACGTTGTGCAGGACAAGCTTTCATTGCATAGGGTGTAAATTGCATTCTACAGTCTACAGGTGCGTATTTTCACTGCTTTGCACTTTTTCAGTTTGAAAGTCATGCCATAGGTCGCCGTCCAGTCTTCCAGAAGCTTTAGATCTGCCTAAAGCCTATCTAAGTCCTCCGGACACTTTATCGCTCTCTAGTAAGCAGAATGTGAGAATAATTTAGTCAGAATAATAAAAAGCGAATATCTTCACATAAATGATTGTCGAAATTATTTCGGTGGTGTTTAAGTGCTGTGACTTGTTTGACTGATGTTACCGGACTTCTGCAAATAAATGAATGAAATGTATCGTTGAATCCGTTGCAGTCAAAAAGTAAAATGTAGGTTAAACACTTTATATTCGCCTACCTTTTCCAAAAAATTTCACCCTCCTTACTTGTTCTGTGTGTTTCTAAAGTTTGCTTTGTAAGGGTTAGTCATGTTTTTACGAGTTGATCACGGATTGATATCAGTTAGAGAACCATTGAAAACAAGGGAGTACTGGACAGCTGCTGTTTCATCCTAGTTTGGGAACCATCGGCAGTACGTACCCACTGGAATTCAAACGCAGGACCTTCCGGTTACAAGGCAAGCTCGTATACCATTCAGCCATTGGGACCTGATTCAGTGGCTCATGTGTTCACAAATGGACCAGGATATTCATGTCCCAGCACTATCTTCACTCACCTCATGTTAACAGTAAGTTTTTCTGCACACGTCGTCTCCTTTCTGAAACCCATTATCTTAGCATCAAGAAACGAGGTGACAGAAATTAAGTCAGTTCACTCGTCGATGGAACATTGAATATTGGGACACGTTAGCGGGATCTTTCGTATTTGTGTTACAAGTCTTGGTCTTTTGTCAAGTCTTCTACTTTGTTGAATTGGTGAAGGGAAAACACTGCTCACCTCGTTTCCTCCAGCATATTTCCTATAGGCTCCCCGAAATTCATTCAATACCTATATTATGTTAGGTCGTCTTCCAGCTATTGTAATAGATAATGGCACAGGGTAAGATTTCGACCTTGTAAACATTCTAGTGATAATTCAGGTATTCTAAAATTGGTTATGCAGGCAATACGGAACCCCAATCAATTATACCATCGTGTATAGCTGTAAGAGAATACAGTAAAGTTGGAACGAAGGAAACCAGACGTCTTGGAACTGGTCTAGATGACCTTAATTTTCACATCGGGGACGAAGCATTAGCACTAGATGGGAAAAACGACTTTTCAGTCAAGGTAAGTGGCTAGGCATTTTCGCATATGTTTTCACTGCATCATTACTGTGCGAGCGACATATTTCCACACCACTGAATACGTTACTATATGCCGAGGGACAGGCGCTAATCTGTAATTTATTAGTCTCTGAACTTTATCCTTATTTGGAACCTTTTTATTTGCTATCCTGAAGTTGAGTTCTAGATACTACATGGACTAAGTGTGATATGGGAAACTTCATGGGAGTAAATTATGAATTATTATGTCTTTTCTTTTTTACGCTTCTCGTTCTTATTATTTAGTGGCCTATTCGTCATGGTATAATTGAAGACTGGGATTTGATGCAACGTTACATGGAACAGCTTATCTTTAAGCTACTTCGGGCAGAACCTGAAGACCATTACTTTCTCCTGGTAGGTTTCGTTCATACTTCTTTTTGTGAAGTAGAGGAACTTTTGTTCGTTTTAGTGTGACAGTCATTCCGACACACTACAGGAAACAAGTATTCGTACATCATGAAATACAACTTCGTTATAAACATCTGAAAATTTCTAAGCATCTTGGAACACCACATACGCTTACTAACGCCGTCCTAGCCTAGATGAAGAGTTCACATGTGTAAATTTGAGAAAAATATAGGTAATTTCAATAAGATGAAAAACAGGCTGTAAGATAGGTAAAATTCGACGTAAGGTATCCAAATTCCTACATTTTCTCGGAAAATGATAAACATAAAGCTGGTAATTGTAATTCCTCTCAAAACTTATTGTTCATGATCACATCAATTATAATCACACAACCTTGAAGCTTGAGTTTTGTAGCTTTCTTTGTTCTCTCCTATTTGTCGTAGGGGTGGTAGAATTTTCCAGATACCTAGGACAGGTGTTGAACCATTCCTGTTACATGTATTTACAGTTGATTCGTTAAACAAAGCTTCTGTTATCAATCTCTCCCTCCACCCTGTGACATTAGATTTTAAAACTCTCATCCAATCCCATCCTATTGTATGGTTGTGTGTAATTGCATGTAGTGCTATAGCTGAGCTGTTCTCTAGATTTCTTATCTTATTCGGGTCAACTAATCTAGATTTTGCTAGGTTTTTATGTTCGGCTAGTCTGACCGCCCCTGTTCTACTAGTTTGACCCATGTATTTGACCTGACAATCATTGCAGTCAGGGTATTAGATAAACTAAATTTTGTTTTAAAGGCTCCACAGGATCTTTTAACCAACAAAGCTTGTTTCTAATTGAGTTTGTGGGTGGTTTGAATGCCAGCTAATTTTATTCCTGCCTTATTAAGAATTCTGTGTAAGGTTTCCGAGGTTCCTTCCTTGTATGGAATTACTACTGATAATTTAGATTCCTTATTGTTGGTGTTGTCTTGCGCATGTTTGTCATGCATGTCATCATTATTATCATTATGTTACTATAATGATTTATTTTTATTTTTACATTTCCCTACATATTTCCCGACTAATTTATCAGCGTAAGTTTCAAGGCTTCTGTTATATGTCTTGCTTCATGTCTTAGATTTTTCGTTGGTACTACTTAGTTTTTGTGCTGTCACTTAAAAGTTTCACCAATCCTATTTTTACTGACATAGGATGGGATTATCGGAAGTCCGAATATCTGTTTGAATGTGTGGGTGTCCTGTAAACACTAGTGTTTAACTTCCCATCTTCTTTCCTTCTTGCACTGCAATCTAACATTGGAAGCTCCCCTTCCTGACTGTCCAATTCATAAGTGAATTGAATTGCCTCCACCTTTGAGTTAATGTGTTAATGAGTTAATGTTAACTCAAAGGTGGAGGCAATTCAATTCACTTATTAATTAGGAATAATTCAACACCTGTCTCAGATATCTGGAAAACTACCACCCCTACGACAAATAGGAGAGGACGAAGAAAACTATAAAACTCAAGTTTCAAAGTCGTGTGATTATAATTGATATGATTATGAACAATACATTTTGTTCGAAATGTCATCGAGTTAATAATACTGTTCCACTGTGTGATACATCTAATAAACAAACTAATATGGAATTACTTACTGCTACAGTGCCCAAGTTTTACACATATATTGTAATTACCCTCCTCTACTTATTCTTCCGACGTTTTCAGAGGACAAATAATCCACTTTTCGCATGTTAGTCATATCATTCCCATTTTGCTGTAGCAAGATTGGCGGGAGCCTGCACTTGCACTCCTCCTTGCTAGTGAGACGGTAAAAGTAGACGATAAGTTTGTGTATTTTGATAGTTGTGAGTGCTCACAGGATTGTATTAAGTAATAGTTTTAATCATATAGTGGAAACCATAGCGGCATATACCAACCTCTACGTCTGTTTATCACAGGTCAGGTTTACTACACTTCGGTGCGTATAATCCTGCTCTTTGCTTTTGAAATGTGGCCACTGAGTTAAGCATGTTGGGTGACTGCGTATTTCATCCTCACCGTCTCCATACAATTTCTTGTGTCCAGTGGCATCATCAAAGTAATTTTGAGGTACGGTAGCGTGTGTCTAGACATGGGGGGTATTTCAATGAGTGATATGGCCGGACACTGGGTTCCATGGCTTGAAAATGTCGTGTGATTTTCATCCCGGCTGCTGTCATATCCACCATTCAACTAGCCCTGGGACTAGGTGGAACAGGCGAAAGGATTGTCACTCCGTTATGTGATGCTGTTGGATATAGGATAGTGTTGAGTAAGCATTTGTGTGTAAATCACAATTTTCTGGGTGGGTTCTAGAAACGGTATCAAATTCGGCTGAGAATATAAGTCAGTGGCTAACATGCTGTAATTTCCTTCTTTTTTGGAGTAGTGAACAATCCTTTAAATGCCCTTGATAAGTATGCCTTTTCCCGGTGCTATCTCCAATTTATTTTATTTGTATTTCATATTTTTGTATGATTTTTATGTTCTGCTCATCTTGGTGCCCATATTGTACTAAGTTTGTGTTTAAATGAAATAAAATTATACTCAGCCACCATTGATGAACTATGTAAGACGAGGTGTGGTAGGTAAAACATATATGGCATCCCAACACAGTGTTCGTGACTTGATCGGAGATATTTGTTTGGATTGGGACAATCAACGAGTAAAGACGCTGTTCTACAAACTAAAATAGTTTACAATGGGGCAAATGTATCCATTCGTCAAGTATATCCGTGAGAACTACAAATGAGCTTGGCCGTCATGATACTCATTGTTCTGGCGTACACATTCTTACGAAAATTAGTTAGAGCTTAGTGAAGCCAAAATATTCAACCAGTCTCCAAAAGATAATACCTTGGCTACATCTTCGTCCGTCTACGGTATTTGAAACAGACTTAATTACCGGCATCCCACGTTTACCATACTTCCCAATATAATGACAGGATATGACTTTTGCTATCAACACGTGTTGTGGACAAGCCTGGATTTAAAGGAATGCTGAGGAAGCATATTCTGGCAATCAAGGCATTCTACTAGAATTCATGCAGCTTCTGTGGTCTCATAGAGTTGTTGTTTATGGCTAGGGCAGCCACCAGTATTTGTCAGGGATGTTTATTGTCATCGTCCTCATTCGATCTTACTGTACATGTACTCGTGGATCTGCCACTCGTTAAATTCACTGACTTAATGGTTGATCACTTATCAAAAAATTTCTCATCGATTCGAAGCATATAGACACTATAGTCCCTAAGGGTGAAGACGTTGACAAACTATAGAGCTTCCGTAATAATATGAGTTAAGATTCTAAAGTTTGGCATGCAGTATATCTTTGTCAAATACAAAGGTATCCTACAGGACTAGTCACTAACGACTTCCACTTCAAATCCAAATAAATGACTGAACTCTGCGGTCACGCAACACTTATGCTCAAGCTCTATCAGCTATTCCAGAAAGAAAACAATTTTCACTATGTGGGCAGTCAGTCAGGGAGTGAACCCCAAAAGGGAAATGTTGAGTGGGGCGTCCGAGGGTGACAAAGAGATAGTATGCGAAGGAAATGAAAGTTTATGAGCAATCGTGGAGCCAGCTAAAAAGACTTCAGAGAACAGAGTGAAATGGAAATGTGCTGTTGGAGCCCTATGCTCCACTCGGGACCCAAGGGAATAACAATAATAACCATTTGTCAAGGAACTTATCCCTAGATTCTTATTGTTACGAAGACGCTCCGCACCGATAAGTACTATGTACTTTCTTCGACTTTAACTCCAAAACACCAATATTCTAAGAAGAAAGTTATATTGTTTGACAATTAAAGCGGAAAACAGTAAAAGTCTATAAACAAATGTTTTATACAAAATTATGAAGTACTTTTATTCGTTTTTGGTCGTCCTCGTGGAACTTGTACACGATCGAAGCATTCGCGCCTTCGAGTTGCCCACCAATGGCTACCAGTTCCAAAAACAAACGTTCAATGTTCACCTCCATCGACACCATCTATGAAAACCAGTTAACGTAGAAATAATCTAATGTGTTATTTTATAATTTTCACTGTAGCATGAAGAACGCGACATTCAGTAAAGAGACTCCTATGAATGTATTATCAAACTGTGCACTTGTATGTATAGGATTCTTAAGAAACTATATCCCAAAGAGTATGAATACCTATACTAGTGTAACAACAGAAGACAAGGGCCAGGCAACAGATCGTTGATTAAAGAAATCAACACACATTTATAGATTTTGATAGCGTTATTAGAAGACGGAGACTATCTGAGAAATGTGATGTATTAGCGCTATACATTTATAGATTTTCATGTACATTATTATAGATTATTGTTAGCGGAAAAACACTGTCTTCTGATTGGTTGTTTCTCACAGAAAGTTAATCTTTCATCTCTTTGTGGCTGTTTCTTGAATATCAGTCCATCTATATGTTAACTGTATCCGCCTACGCAAAGCCTTTGTTTTCATTCTTCTCACGACCGATACTGGGGACATGAAGATTGACGTAAATTACTGTCCACCAATCTTGGCTAACAGCCAGCTCTCACCACACCAGAATAGTATTGTGAAGTATGACAAAATGTTTGTGATGTTAATCACAAATTTCAGTATCAAATGATGAAACAAATTGAGTGATGCATAGAATAGTTCATAAAATGTATACATCCTGGAAAAGGGGGTGTGAAGTTGTTTGGATTAGTAGGCAAATGGAAACGCTACGTAGCCTGGTGAGAAGTTTAGCAGGACAAGTTGAATAATACGGGAGACTGTTTAAAGTGAAAGAGTTAACAATAATGGCAATCTTTATAATAGTGAGAGAAAGGTATGCGGAATAAATGAACAAAATCAAAAATAAATTACTGTTTATATCTCTCTACGGCCAAGGTAGAGATATACCGACTGTACTTACTTCCTTTGTACACAAAGGTCTGACTTGAAATTAAGAATGGCCAAGATGTCAGCTGTCTCTCTAAGT